AAGAAATCAGATGAATATCATACTTTAATAAGTGATAAGACTGTAGCTAGTCATATAATAACATACTGCAGATAATGAGTGTAACATAGCAAAGAACAGTCTCAAAGTAACAGACTTACACATGAATCAGATTACAGAAGAAAAAGAAATTCAGAGTTGAATTTAACTGTTTATATCAGTTCAATTGCAGAGATAACAGAGAATGAAGCATCTGAAACATCTGTGAATATATGAAATCAAGTCATCTCAATCTCTGAGAACACTCAGATTGAGTGAGATTAGTTTTAATAGACTGTTCACTATAGTGATCTGAGCAGGTGAAAAGAGACAGTATAATGCATGAGACAGAATTACAAAAGATAAAAGCTGCTGAACTGAGTCACTGAACACTGTATCATATAGAGGTCATGTAAGAGTAGTGACTAGCAGATAAAGAAAAAGTGTAAGAAAAGAGAAATGAATTGATCATTAACTGTAAGAGTCAGCTATAAAAGATAAATGTTATTATACACACTTCATTTCTTTTCATACATCACACATTTAATCTATTTTCAATGTCACATCATCTGAAAAACATCAAAAACAAAGAAAATCTCAAAACTTAAGATCTGCAAGGAATTCAAGAGCTGTAAGTCACTCTTACAACAACACTATACACATCTCTGATTTCTCTACCACTCTGTGTACAACATTAATATCATTTATCACAAGATTGACTGAAATGCCAATATAGAAATGTGTACATGTTTATGTAGAAAAATTGAAGAAGAGCACAGAATTCACAGAATTAGAAGTCAGAGCAGGGAAAATAAAGATGAAAGAAACAGAAGAAGAAGAAGACACAGAATTAGATAAATGACAGCAGAAGCTAATCAGAGCTGAATACTTATAACTCAGTGTGCACACAATCTTCTCTACAGAAGAGAGAGAGAAAGCACTGAAAGAAGCTTGAAAGCAGAAGAAAGTAGTCTCAGCAGTATTATCATCTTCAATTAGAATAATCTCAGTCACTGAAGTAACTAAGAACTATTATTAGCATACAAAACTGTAAAAAGTAGAGATAATAATTATCAAATAAACATTTACTGATCTTAGAATTGTATATATAATTACAACATATACAAGACTTCTCAGAAAGAGAGAGAAGAATATGAGAGAATACAGAAAGCAGAACACAGTATGTAAACAGCTTATTCTCACAGTGATATCTCAGACAAGACATATAAGTCTCACACCTGTGAGTGTAAAAAAGTATGATATTCACATTCTCATTTCTGAAAACATGAATAGCTTTCATCTGCACTACAAAGTCAGATGATAGATATCAGAGAATAGACTGATATAGATCTATCATCTTAAAGAAATTTATCAGAGTGAATGTATCTGCAATATTGAATTTAACAGTTATGAAAAGTTTCTTAATGTCTATGAATATCATGACTTCATACACAGTAAAACTTATAATGATTTTTTCTAAGAACAGAAAAATCAGCATCAGAAAGAAAAGATGAAAAAGAAAAAGACTTATAATCTTAATACTGTTAAAGAGAAAGATGATTCTCTGATATAAATAAATGATTATCTCATCATAAATATTTAAAATAAATGTAATAATCAGTGTCTGTGACTGAGCTTCAGATAGTCATATTATACACAGTCTTCATACAATAAATCATTCTAGAAGTCAGTAAGAAAGATGAGAGTATACACACTGATAAATATGATTTATTAAGTCTACACAACATCTTCTTGAAACAGGGACAGCTGATAATAAAAGTAGAGACAGTAAAATCAGAGAGAGCAGAAGTAGCAGAAGTAAGAATCACAGAAACAGAGATAGCAGAAGCGGGAGAACTAGACACAGAGACAGATGTAGAAGATTGAGAGAAAGTGACAGAGAAAGAAATAGTAGTAGAAGAAGTTGAGAGAAACACAGAAGACTCAGTCATATATAATATAGATAATTTCTTTATTATCATGTTCTTCAAGTTCTTGATTAATGATTCAACATTGAGTTCACTATCATTGACAGATATAAATCTGTCAATGTATGAAAATTCTACATAAATAAAAACAAACATCAGCATCTGTGTTCATGCAAAATTGTGTTAGAAAACACAATTAGAAGCTGTTAAGAAGAAAAATAATCAAGAGTGTATAAGAAGATGAAGAAGATGTATTATTCACAATAATATGTTCTAGTGATTATTAGAAGATAAATAAGTCTGATCATATTTTATAACATATTATACTTACTGCTAATAAACTGCCTGATATGAGTACTACAATGATACTTATTATGAGAATAAGAAATCATCATCAGAAACACATATAATGTAATAGATAAATAAATAGAAGGTGTTAAACAGAAGAAGAGGCAGTAATCTTGAATGAAATAATGATAATGTTCAATGATGACAATGATGAAGAAGATAATTAAAGAATGAGAAAAGTTAGTGAATAAGTAATGTAATATAGTGAAAGTTTCTTTGTGAGAGTGTACACAGAATGCTAGCTGAATCAGAGATAGGTTACATAATCACAAACACTAGTGATATGCTAATTCACATGAAGCTAGGGCAGACATTATAATCATGTGAGTGTGACTGAATCTGATGAGAGAGAATGTGATTCAGAAGAATGTACAACTGTTGAATAATAACACAGCTGCTTCTGAACTTGCTTACAAATGTAAAAGGGCCATAGCAGCCACTAATTAATTTAGCGTACAATATATAAGAAGCCGGCGTACGCCTGTAATCGTACGCTGGGTGAGAAACCTTTGAATTACAACTGCAGAGAATACTCATTTATAATATTCTCTCAATCAGTTATCAGACCTCTATCTGTTTCAAACAGTTAATCTCTTTAACACAGATCTTGTAATAATACTTTCATTCTATGAAAGCTTTGACATGTGTGAGGTTTTTCAGAATTGAAAGTGCAGCAATCTCAGAATCAGTGAGTAGATCTTCAAGACTGTCTCTCACTGAAGATTTTCTCACTGTTAATTCTTCACTATAGTGATATTCCTTGTAGATGTCAGAGAATTATCAGATTCAACTGTGAGTTCTGAAAAATTCAGTTTATTCTGCATTAAAAAGATAGATATTCTTGTGAAGATATTATAGTCAATTCATCAATTATTAGTGAGTATGAGAAATAATAAACACTCAGGTCAGATTTCCTTATCAATGCACAGATTATCAATTGATGAATCAGAAATTACTGCAGTCTCTTGACAGACTGTAGTGAATAGATCTGATATTGCTGAAGAAATCACTGCAGTCACTTTATAAGCTGCATTGAATAGAATCTTTGAGTTATGTGTAGTAGTTGATATTGATGAATTGACAAGATGAAGATTCTTCTGAAAGATGATATCTTTTAATATGTATAAATGCCTGTTGAAGAAGTTCATCAATCTATAATTGATAAAATCATTATATTTCACAAAAATCAACTCTTTGAAACAGGAAGCCATCTTATTGATGAGCTTGAGAACTATCTTCAAGAATGCTTTGCAACCTCATCAGTAAATGCCGCATACAGAGAGTAGAGCTTCAAGCCAGGCCTTATACAGTGTAATCAGCTTTGTGTTTTCAGAGTCTCTATATAATATTGTTGAGATTGATATAAGATTAAGCAGTTCTGTGACTGTAATAATCATCTTATCTCACATCTTCTCTGAAGTGAAGAAATCTATTAATAGTGATCAGAACTTCTCAATGATTAAATCTGTGACGGGCTGCGCCCGATCAATCATATAGACTATTCTGTTACACTTCACAGATTCCAACTGCTTCATTCTCGAATGCGTACACTCCGATTCGCGGCCATTCTTGATCACTGATCCTCAGCCGCCATGAATGCGTACGCTCCGATTCTCGGCCATTCTCAATCACTGATCCTCAGCCATCATGAACGTGTATAGATTCTTCCGCCCCGAAGCTTCACTGTGTACATCACCATATATGTGTATAAATATCTACTTCAATCACTGATTCTCACACTTTCTCTTCCTTTTTCTTCTCCAACATTTTTCTCTTTGTTATATAAGATCTATATATTATACTGATCTATTCAGTGTAGGCCTCTTACACTAGAAAAACATTCATCATCTTCTTATTAGAAAATGATTATTCACACATTATCTTCTTATTAGAAACAATTATTTATCAAGAAATATCTGAACATGTAACAATGTGTAAGAAATAGAGAAACAGTTAAACAGTTAAGTAATCACTGAGTTCTCAGATAGAAGCTTACTCATCAGTCACTCTGACTCTGTAACAAAATCTTATAAAGAGAGTAAGATTTTATAAGAGAATATCAGTGAAAGATCTGAGAGTTTTGACACTCAGATATATAAGATATTTATACAATTACACATCTGATAAAATAATATAATCATGTCTAATGATAATATGAGAGAACTCTCAAGTACAAGTATAGAGATAATATCACAGTGACTCTGAGTAATGTTGAAATTACAATAACAATGAATAGTAGACATGCACACAACTTAACAACTTCAATACAAAGAGATTCAACAATTAATTCATGCAATTTCAACATCTACAGAATCAAATACAAAAGCACTGAAAGAATACTTAAATACTTCTGCATATTTCAATACTTCTGATCTCACTCTCTACTCATTATAGAGGATGAAAATGCTTGTGAAACTGAGTGTAAATGAAGATGTCATCAGTTTATTAATCAATCAAGATTGATATATCAATGAATAATTAAAGAATTATATGAAACAGAAGTTTCATTCATGAATGAAAGCATGTGAATCAGTGTTGTGAATATCTGACAATATTATCAAATATCTTGATGTTCTGTTTCAAGACACTGACATGCAACAGAAAGTATTAGATTGATTACAGAGTATCTGACAGAGAAACACTTCTCTTACAACATTCATCCCCGATTTCAACATCAAAATTCTAGAAGCAGGTGATCAATCTTGAGAGAATTGAATGAAGATTAGTATGCTCAAGAAGACATTAACTTTCAAACTCTTACAGGCCCTTGTAAGCATAGATAAAGACCAGACTTATGAAGACTTCTGCACACAGCTTCAGATATTGAATGGCCATCTTATCAAGCTCAAGACTATACAGAACAGTGGCAGAAGACATTACACCTCAGCGATTCATACACCTGCGCTGAAGAACAGCAATGATGCAGATGTCATGAACCTGACACAGATCTCTGTCAACGCGTACGAAATACTCTGAAAAAGAAGTCGCTGACAGCGGGATCATGTAGCAATCTATTCCACCAGTCTGACTGATATCAAAAAGGCTCTAGAAAAGTTATCCTATATTATAACAATAGATTCTTGTATGAAACTCTCTCAATAATATCATGAATATCTAGATGTCTTCTGACAAGATAATATTATAAACATACTCTTCTTACAAGGTTCTGAAGTGAATCACAGTATCAAGTTAGAGAAAAAGAATGATAAGAACTCTGAACTGTTATAAGACTCTCTTTATAATATGTTTTGACATGAACTCTTTCTTCTTCAAAAGACACTCAATAATCTGTTGAATAAGAAATTTATACACATTAGCAACTCTTCTGCTGCAGCCTCTATTCTCTTTGTAAAGAAATCAGATAAAGAACTTCAGTTCTGCATGAATTATTAAGAATTGAATAGATTAATAAAGAAAGACTGTTATTCTTTATCTCTTATCAATGAAACTCTAGCTTACATTGAACAAGCTCAATGATTTACAAAGTTAGATATCATCACTGTGTTTCATAAGATTTGCATTACTGAAGAAGATGAGTGACTTACAGCATTCTGAATATAATATAATCTCTTTGAATGAGTAATTACACTCTTTGAACTGATCAATGCTCTCAGTACATTTCAGAAGTATATCAACTGAACACTCTGAGACTTTCTTAATAAATTTATATCTGCTTATCTAGATGACATTCTCATCTTCACTGATGAATTCAGAAAGAAATATCAAGAGTATGTGCAGAGAATATTACAATGACTATAAGAAGCAGAACTATTAATTGATATTAATAAGTGTGATTTTGAAGTCAAGAGTATCAAATATCTGGTTTTTATTGTAGAAGTGAGCAAGAGAATTCAAATGAATTCTGAGAAAGTCTTTATTATTCTTGAATAAGAAGCTTTATATACTGTGAAAGATATACAAAGCTTCATCAGATTTGCTAACTTCTATCAGTGATTTATATAAAACTTCTCAGATATTGTAAGATTACTTACAGAACTCATTAAGAAGAACTCAGTATTTCAGTAATTAGTGAATACTGAAGCTGCATTTACACAGATGAAGAAGATATTCATCAATATCTCTCTACTAATAATATTTAACTCTGATTATAAAACAGTTGTTGAAGCTGATTTCTCTGATTATATAATAGAAGAAGTGATATTATAATATAATAATAAAGATGTTCTATAATCATATGTCTTCATATCTAAGAAACTGAGTCTCACTGAATGCAATTATGAGATCTATAATAAGAAACTTCTCATAATTATATACTGTCTAGAAGAATGAAACTCTGAACTCTGAAGTATCTCTGAATTTAAGATAATCATAGATTATAAGAATCTCAAGTACTTTATAATTATCTATAAACTCACTGAATAATAGATACAATGATCTGAACTTCTAAGTCACTTTCATTTTATAATACACTACTGCCTCAGCAGTCAGAACTTGATAACAGATACTCTCTCATAACAAGAATAAGATATACTGTCTGATGTAACAGATATATACTGAATAAACTGAGAACACTGACTCTTAGATCTGAAGATATTGATTGATCAAGATAGAATAACTTATAATACTATATATACTTCTTCAATTAGAACACTCTCTCTCTGAACTGATACTGATATTAATATCTTCACTTTCTCTACACTGAATGAACTGTGGTATACAGCAGCTCAGACTGATAAGCTTCTTCAGACTCTCTCTGAAGCAGTATATCAAGAAGTATCTTGATTTCTCTCAGAACTATGTATAAGAACTGATATCTCAGAATGTTTAATTGATGATAATAACACTTTATAATTCTGTAAATAACACTGAGTCTCTCACTCTGAACTCTTACACACTCAGATAATACAAAAGATGTATAATTTATATATAACTGATTATTCAGACTGTGAATAACTGTATAGAATATTCTTCTAAGAGTTCTACTGATCTGAGATATTAAACAGTATCAGATACTTTATCTGAAACTATAATTACTATTCTTCTGTTATCTTATAAAAGAACTGTAGAAAAGATCTATTGAAATCACTTAATATCTCTGATAGAATCTGATAAGATGTAGTAATTAACTTCACTGTTAATTTATCTAAGAGTAAGAATTATAGAAATATTCTGATTATTATAAATTGATTAAGTAAAGATATAATATTAAAATCTTGTAATAAGATGAATACTGAACAAGTTACTGAAGCTTTTTTACAGAGTCTGTTCTATTAGATATATGAATTACTGAGATGTATAGTATTAGATTAAGACTGTTAATTTATAAGCACTCTCTGAATAAGAATCTGTCAAGTTCTCAAGATTATACACTGTCTATTAACTGTCTATTACTCTGAGACTGATGATGTGTTGGAACAGATAATTCAGACTATAAAGAATTATCTCTGTAAGTTCTGTAATTACTTATAAGATAATTGATATAATCTTCTTCTACACACAGAGATTACTATCAATGATTAAGATACTATTTTAACAGATATAAGCTTGTTCTTCCTTATACATAGTTATTATATAAAGATATTAAATCTTCTAGAGATCATACAGTTCACACTGAATCTCTGCAGTTCAATTCAAATCACTGATAATATAGTAATAAAGCTTTAAGATATCTGTGACTGAGCAGAGGCCTTTATAATAACTGTAAAACAAGATCAAGAAGATTAAATTAATATCTGATGAGATTCTGCAGAGCAGTATAAGATAGAAGATCTTGTATAATTAAATCTCAAGAATATACAAATCATACATTCTTCTTATATACTAGATTATCATCACATTAGATATAAAATGATAGAAGTTCTAGATAGCTACAACTACTGTCTTGATATATTATCAGAAATTCATAATATCTTTTATATAAGCTTACTCTGCTACACTGTCACTGATCTGTTCTCTTCTCAACTGACTTCTGACTGACAGTTACCAGGCATCATAGAAGAAGATAATGAGCTTGAGTGAGAGATTGAGAATATTCTTGATAAGAGATCTCACAGCCGCAGCTGACAATATCTTATAAAATAAGTCAGCTACAATCAATTAATCTAAACTCTGAGTTCTGTGTTATCTGAAGCAGCAGCTCTTAACTGATGAGAACTGCTTCTGAAAGAGAGAGACTAATGTGACAGGCTGTGCCTGATCAATTATATAGACTATTTTATTACACTTCACAGATTTCAATCACTTCATTCTCAAATGTATACACTTCAATTCACAGTCATTCTCAATCACTGATCCTCGGCTGCCATGAACACATACACTCCGATTCTCGGTCATTCTCAATCGCTGATTCTCAGCCATTACAAACATGTATAGATTCTTCTGCTCTGAAGCTTCACTGTGTACATCATCACATACATGTATAAATATTCACTTCAATCACTGATTCTCACACTTTCTCTTTCTTTTTCTGCTCTAACATTTTTCTCTTTGTTATATAAGACCTATATATTATACTGATCTATTCGGCGTAGACCTCTTACAAAATCAATCAATTATTCAGATACTTCATCTTGCTGTGAAGTATAAGAGAGAGTCAGCTCTCACTTTATTTCTTCACTGAGCATATATACTGTAGCTGTGTTCAAATTTAATTCTTCATAATCTGAGTAAATGATTGCAATATCACATTTCAGCAGATTCTTGATAAATTAATTGAAGATCTGTAGATATCTCAACATCTCATTCTTGCATTTCAATAGAAATATTCATCTCATTTAGATGACATCATCTGTAATCATCATTGCAAGCTTCTTATCAGTGTAAGATGATATATTTTCAGTCTCAAGAGTCTCATCATCACTGAATATATTCATTCAAATCTTCAAGGCCTTGCGGGTGACATGATGTGATGTGAAATCCTTGTAGAAAGCACATTTCTGTTTAGTCTTAACACATGTGACACAGAATGATAATTTTTTCAGGTCAATAATGATAATATTAAATTGCAGGTCTCTGATCATCTTTAATATACTATTTTCACTGATATAATCAAGTCAACAATATCACTTATCTATCAGAAGCTGTTTCAGAAGAACTGCAGATAATTAAAATAAAGATAAGATAATAAAGAAATCAGTATCTGAATTCTTAGAGTTGATTAACTGTTCAACCTTCTCATAGCTGAAAGGTCTTAAAGACTCTGCATTCAGATCATAATCTATTGAGATTATCTTTGATTTCAGAACAGTCACATATACCACTGCTTTATACATTGAGTCATTCATTATTTCATGAAATGTCAGTGAGCTGTCAGATAGAATTTAAATATTATTATAAGACAGATTAGTATAGAAGATATCACTGTTAATAGATGATAGAAACTTAAAGTAGTTCTCAGTATTAACTTACATATCACAGTGAATATAGCTTTGACACTTCATAAGTTCAGCAGAGATTAGATTCGCAGATAGTTCTGACACATAGTATACATAATTGAATTCTATCAATCTTTTACTCACTGAGATGAATGCAGTGTTGACACTCTAAACCTTCAGAATAATCTTATTAGTAACTTGAACTATTAAACTATTGATTGCTATAAGTTCTGAAAATCATGATCTATCACTCACTATGAGGCATTCAGCATCACTATTTCATATAGTGAGAGAATTCTTGTGAGATTTTATGAAACAGACTGATATATTGATTACCTCTGTGAGGTTTATCATCTGATAGATCTCTGATTTATCTGTAATAAGTACTTGAGTTCTACTCTTACTATTGTTCTTTTTCTTCTTTTTCTTGAATTTCTTTATTCTCACAGTATTGTTTATTCTTCAATTATTCAGAGCACTGTCTGAATTGATCAATTAACAGATGTCAAAGTGAGATCTCTCATATTCAGAATATATAGATAAATTTTCTGATCTCTGATGATTTCAGAAGCTCTCTTGAGTACTATTATAATCATATTCAGTACAGTCTTCACAGGCTGAATTTGATGTATTATTGTTGTT